CCTCTTGCTTTCTTCCATAATAAGGTGGAAAAGAGAGGAAAGGTTTATTATAAGCCTTTTATGATTCACGCTTTGGAAGACAATTTAAAAATGGTGGGGGGTGGGAGGGATGGGGTGGCTGGGTGATAGACCCTGGGGAGGGTATGTGCTATGGTGAGTGCTGTGAATTGTGTAAGGCTGTTGAATCACAGACCTGCACCCCTGAAACAAATAATACATTATATGTTAAAAAAAATGAAGGGAAAAATGAAGGGGGGTGGAAATCGGAGGGGCAGACAAACCGTGAGAGACTATGGACTCTGGGAAACAAACTGAGGGTTCTAGAGGGGAGGGGGGGGTCGGGGGATGGGTTAGCCTGGTGATGGGTATTAAAGAGGGCACGTTCTACATGGAGCACTGGGTGTTATATGCAAACAATGAATCATGGAAGACTACATCAAAAACGAATGATGTATGGTGATTAACATAACATAATACAATAAAATTAAAAAAAATAAAAACGACTGTTTTAAAACAAACAAAAAACAGAAAGAGACTCATAAATACAGAGACCTGATAGTAGCCAGAGAGAATGGGGCAGGGGAAGGGGCAAAATGGGTGAAGGGGAGAGGGAGGTTTAGGCTTCCAGTTATGGAATGAAGAAGTCACGGGAATAAAGGCTAGAGCCTAGGGAACATCATCAGTGGCCCTATAATAGCATTGCATGGTGACAGATGGGAGCTACCCTTGTGGGGAGTGGAGCATAATCTATAGGCTTGTCTAAACACTATGCTGTACCCCTGAAACTAAAGTAACACTGTATATCAACTATACTTCAATAAAAAATAAACTAAAAAATTAATGTTTTTAGTCTTATTATAATAATACCTTTCCTAAGTGACTAGATTCTCAATGGTTTCTCATTTCTTTTTTGGGGGGCTTTTGTGGCATGGCTTCTAAAAAGGTTACGTTAGTGAATTAATGTAAGAAAAATTCGTAAAGTAGCAAAAGTTATGCTACAACAGGTGAGCAAATGATTCTATCTACTTTTCTATGGATTAGCTTTAAATTGTGTGGAAGGAGGGGTGCCTGGGTGGATCAGTTGTTAAGCGTCTGCCTTTGGCTCCGGTCATGATCCCCAGGTCCTGGGATTGAGCCCCGCATCCGGCTCCCTGCTCAGCGGGGAGTGTTTCTCCCTCTCCCACTACCCCCTGCTTGTGTTCCCTCTCTTGCTGTCTCTCTCTCTGTGTCAAATAAATAAATAAAATATTTAAAAAATAAATAAATTGTAAGGAAAGAGATGAAATCTAGAAGAGGAATCCATAAAGAAAAAGAATTTAAAATATTATTGCCTTCTAGAATTCCCTTCTCTCCCTGCCTCCAGTCTCAGCACATAGGATCAAAGATAAGCTGCCTATGGGCTTGCATATAGAAAGATAAAAAATTACTATGACCCAAAAATGAAGGTGAAAATCGAAAAGGGTAAGTGAGAGAGTACAAGGTCAGATCTTCAGTTGAAGTAAGCCCGCCTGATGAAGGAAAGGGGGTGGGGAGAAAGATGCAGTAATTGCGTTGCATTTATCATGTGATCTTGCTTTTAGAGATGAATAAAAATAAACGATCTTGGGGATAAATTCATTTCTAACAATGAAGAGAGGACTATAGTAAAGTACGAGAGGAGAAGAAAGATCTTTGGATTCAACTAGTAGTGGCCTGGACACCACAGTGTATGGCTGAAGACCTGATGTTACTGGAAAATATGCCATGTTAACAGTGCCCCAAGAAGTATCTTTTCTAAGGGAAAAATACAATGTACTGATAGATCACACGTGAATGGTAAAAGAGGACGCTAGTGTACTGCTCCTCTGGTCCTCTTTAAGATAATCCCCTCGAAATATAATGCCAGCTCATGTTAGTGAACCCGACCATCGAAGGACAGAATTTTTAAAGACCATATTTGAGATTTAAGAACACTTCTTTTTATTGGGAATATTTTTGTTTGTGAAACAGTTATGTATAAACCATCAATAATAAAATGTATTATTTTATTAAGCCAAAGTTTGGAGAGAAATCTAATTGCACATTAGCTTATCACTGGAACATCCTCTGGAGGTACGAGGAGACAATATTATACATTTTTCCTTTCCCACAGCTTTCCACATTGTATGGACTTAATACATGGCCTGTTATTTCTGGAGGGAGGTTAATTTAAAATCACACCCTAATTTGGATTGCACACCTTACTCTGCTAATCCACAGCTGACTGTTCACAACTTTTGTCACTATGAACATACATATAGAACTTCCGGAGTCAGATTCTCAAAGGTAACATAAGATTCATGTGAAATATGATGAACTGAATTCAAAATTAACTCTGGATGGTCCTGAACCCATAAATTAAAAGAAACGTCTGCTAATCTCTTTTTAATTTAAATTATTTTCTCAAAGAAGCAGGTGAAGATACACTGACCTGGCAAAGAGATTTTTCTGATGCTCTTAAATACTTAAGACAACTGAAAAGAAATAGTGAGTGATGTTGGCTCTTCACTGCTTGACTGAGCACACACAGTGACTTTTTTTCTTTTGTGTATTACAAGCCTCTATCATATTCTGTAAGATTCAACTGATAAGACTTTTCAATAGTTTTCACCATTAATTTGAAAAGGACTTTCTTTTTTCTTTTGCACTCGTTCATTCAGTCATTCATCAACATACATAAATTGAGCACTTGAAGTGTAATGTCAGGTGTTGCAGGATAGGATGATGAGAAAAACCTTGGCCTATCGCATTATCTCTTGCCTTCCCCACAGCCATCTTGCTTCAGCATGTCCTCATCTCCTCATGGCTCAATTTCTTCAAAACCTTCTAGTTAGTTCTCCTGACACCCAAGTCCCACCCTGTTCAAGATGTATTCTACACTCAGCTGTAGAAAAAGATGCCTTGATCAAGAGTACCCTCTTGTCCATATTGACACAACTGCCACCACCACAAATAACAATAATGGTAATTAATAGATGCTATTCTTTGATCTGTTGACTTTGTACACTTTACCATCTCATTTAATCCTCATCATGACCATGAAAGGCAAAAATAACATTTTTATTTCAATTGTATCCACAGTTTCTTACTAATGGGGCATATGTGCCTGTTGAGTACTGCATAGCTTCTCAGATGCTTGAATTAGATTGCACACTCAGTCTCCTCTCCTGTTCCACATGAATTTCTGCAGGGTCCTTGCTTCTTAACACAGCAATTGCCAAAAGCCTGACTTCACACAGATAAGTCTTAAAAAGGAATGTGATGTGATCGAATGTTGAAACCGAACTATCTTGAGGTCAGGCGGTGTTTAACAGATGCTGAGTATCATTGTGTTTCCCTTTGAGCAATTAAAGTACTCTGCCACCCCCATGTGAGTCTGCTGTGATTTCTCAAGATGCTTCTGTGCACAATTCGGGAAATTTGGTCCTACATAGGAACGATCCCTCTTCAACGTTGCCTTTCTATACTGCTCATTTGGCTCAGAACACATTGTGTTTCACATTTGAATTGTGTGCACAGGTCTCGTGTCTGCTCCTGGATCATCTGCTCTGTGAAGCTCAGACCAGCCCTGGCACAGAAGCTGACACACCTTGCATATAGAAAACGTTCAACAGGGGTGCCTGGGTGGCTCAGTCATTAAGCGTCTGCCTTCAGCTCAGGTCATGATCCTAGGGTCCTGGGATCGAGCCCCGTGTTGGGCTCCCTGCTCAGCAGGAAGCCTGCTTCTCCCTCTCCTACTTCCCCTGCTTGTGTTCCCTCTCTCACTGTCTCTCTCTCTCTCTCTGTCAAATAAATAAATAAAATCTAAAAAAAAAAAAAAACATTCAACAGTAGTCTATCGAATGAGGGGATTAAAAAATTACACTATGTCCTTATGTAATTGCTCCCCAGTTATTTGAGATGCCTTTAATCTTACCCCATTGAAATTTAAATATATTTTTTGAACGAAGTGTACAGTTGAGAAGTGTTGCTGACTAACTGATGGAGTGCAGAAAAACCAGTGTTTGACTAGGCAGGGGATGACTCTGAAGGGGGCAGAGCCTTTCTTAACACTTGTAGTTTACCTACTCTTTTTGGAGCAGCATGTCTGCGAGTTACTGTGTTCAAACACATTACATTCTGAGTATAGAAAAAGGAAAATAATGGTGAAGAATACAGTGCAGGTGAGTGCTTCTCGATGCTGTTAATGCTATATAATGACTATGCCATCAATGACGATATTATCAATGACAGAAGAAAGAGGATTGCTGGTAGAAATTATACTTTGAAAGTAAGTATTTAAGAGTAAATCAAATTATGTTCTCCTTTAAGCATCTATAATATTAGTTCTTACAAAGCTCTCCGAGGAAATATGGAATGGTTCCCATATATGTGTGTGTGTTTCCTTTCCTTCTCTCTCTCTTTTTGAGATTTTATTTTTTTTAAGTAATCTCTACACCCAACATGGGGCTTGAACTAGCAACCTGGAGATCAAGAATCCGTATGCTCCACCAACTCAGCCAGCCAGGGGCCCCAATCTCTCCTTTTTTTTTTTTTTTTAAAGGCTGGGATTTAGACTCCAAACTGCTTTCTGCCCCCAAAAGTAAATATGCTTCTATTCAGTCAATCAGATTTAGGTCCAATATCATTCAAGACAATCAGGAAGTAACTATTTGTGAAATCTTCTTTCAATGAGTTAAAATGCTGATAGTTACTAGCAACACACACAAACACACACACACACACACTGAGCCATTTGTCTACTAAAATTAAAGTGGTAAAAACTAAATAGGGAGATGACATGAAGAATACAACTAATTTGGGGGAACATTGGTCTAGTTCCCGAGATTTTTCTCTCCTTTTGGTGTCTATTTCCCCTGACAGACTGGAATTTCTGTCCTAGCACTAGTGAAAGAGGATCATCTCAGTAAATTAATTCACTTTCAGATGAAACAGACTTCAAAGCACAAAGCCAGCCCCGGGAAAGAGGAGCCCTTAGTTACCTGCTGTTTCTCTGTCAGCTGAGGTCAGCTCTCCGTTGATTCCATTCTCTTTGGTATCTGAATAGGTGCTCTGTGACCCATGTTCTCCAAAGGCGCCCTCTTCATCCTCCCTGTATGGGAATCCATTGGCGCTTCTGACAAGTCCTTCCCCTGCCCCGCCTTGATCCTTAATCTCAGGTGGATGTGGGTGTGCAGATGCCTCTGTTAGTTGAGCTGAGGTCCAGTGAGGCGCCTTTCCTTCATCTTTCCGATCATCTGCCATTTTTCCACGTCCTGTAACCTCTTCTGGGATTGGAATCAGAAAAATGGTAGCCATCAATTTGGGAAAATCTGATCTGATTACTAAGACAGGGAAAACTTATAGCAAACTTAGTGGTTAGCTATGGCCAAAAAAAATGCATAATAATCCACTGTTATTATCAAGCAAATAATTGTTGTTAATACCTTGGTTTTTAACAGATCTTTTCTGGCTTATCTATTCCTTTAATATATGACCATCATCAATTTATATATATATATACATGTATATATGTATATATATATTTTAAACTAGTGTTTGGCATTTAAGGAGATATCTAACTTTCACTGACATATGATATTGACTGTACAGTAGAGTCAAAGAATCCTTTAGGATAGGGGAAACCACAGTATGAGGAAATTGGGTAGAAAAAGGTAAGAAAAGAAATGGCTAAGGGGAAATGATGAATTCGGGAAGGTTACTCCAACTACTCTTTTAAAAACACAACTCTCCCCGAATCCTCGAAAAGACAATGTCTAACGTAGTAGTCCTTTCTGTTTCAAAGGTGTTCAGTTCAAACCAGAGGTGGATGTTTTCTTGGATACTGTATATTAAAAGATAGTTTTGACTTAATTTTTCAGCAAACTTTCCTAAACCCTATCTACAGATTAAGAGTATATATAGATATACTAAGATTTTCTCTTAGTATAAATCTTACATAAAGAATAAAAAACAGTATTAGGCCCACATCCTACCTTATAATGTTATTTCACAGCTAAGTCAAATCAGATATGGAGAAGTTAAATCACTGACATATATCAGGTAGCTGTAAATTATAGTAAAGTTTGGATAAGTCATGGAGTGGGTGTTCTGCACATGTTAAGTGAGTGATAGATATCGCATGGCCTTCACTTCCACGCTAATGCCACTAGGTTTAGAGATGTAGTCAAGAAAAGGTGATTCATCACTCACTTATTGAAAGCTGTTGCCAGCAAGGTAGTCTCATGGATGCCTTATTGTCCCCACACTGAGGATAATGACATAGGCAATGACTGTCTCTGACGGAAACTAAGAACACTTTGCTGTTTTCAAAACCAGTAACTCCAGTAAAAAACTCCAAAGAAGCAAACAGAATTGTATTAAAATAAATCTACTTCCTGTTACTAAGCTCTGTTTAGAGACATCACAAATAAATTAAGCCATAAAGAAAGTAAGCTTTCCTACCGGATTCCTAATAAGTATGTGTCTTTTTTTTTTTTTTTTTAATGAATTTCAGTGCTTTCCTCAGGTTCTCATTCTAGTTTTCTATTCATACCAGGAAGAGCTAGATGAGTTAACTCATTTAAACTAATTTGACTACAATACCAAACCTCCCCCCAAATTGCTTTCTATTAGGGTTATATTTATTGTCCCTAAGAACATATTTAAAAAGGATATAAGAGGTTTAGCTTTTAAAACATTGAAGGACTTGTGAATAAACCAAGGAGCCTCCCTATATCACTGACAACATGTAAAGAACTGGATCCACAGAAGGGTTTCCTCATCCGTAAAGTTAGGACGAAAATGCCTAGTTTACTGTTTGTTATAAAGTGTGAACAGAAAAATATAAAGGGTTCATTCAGTGCAGTCTCAGTCATGCTCAATAAATAGTAGTTACTATCTTTGTTATTGTTATTAGAATGATACTACTAATCACTATATCACAAATCATTATATATAAAATATTTTAAGTAGTTTTCTGGAATTATTGCTATAGGGACAAGAGCCTGAAAACGTGGTGATTACAATAACAAGAGTTACTTGCAAATCTGTCTCCAGATATTATATAGGACTGAAAGAATGTTCCAAGGCAGACATGGCAAATGTCTAATGGACTGAAGAAATACCTAGATTCCAACTGTGACCTTCGTATTTGAGACCCTGGCTCAGCATCCTTCTCTTTACATGCCTTTGTTTCTTTACAATTCTTTTCTGAAAATAGCTTAATTAAAATTTCCATATTTTTACATTGTCCAACCAATTTTGCATGCAGACTGAATACTTGTAAATAGGAAGTTTCCCCAAAAGAAGTATATTCCTTGTTAATGTCACTTTAAAAAAAAATTACTGGGTTTTAATTTTAGAACACTTTTAGATTTACTGAAATATTAAGCAGATAGTACAGAGTTCCCATGCACCCCCGTCTCTAACAATTTCCTGTTACTAAATACCTCAGTATGGTACATTAGTTATAATTAATTAGAAAATATTAATACATTATTATTAACTCAAGTCCATAGTTTACTTAGATTACCTTAATTTTAGCAATTTCCTTTTTTTGGTTATTCCAGAATTCCATCCTGCAAACATTAACATTTCTTTTCATGCCTCTTTAGGTTTCCCTTGGCCGTGAGAATTTCTCAGACTTTCCTCGTTTTTGATGACCTTGTAAAATACTGGTCAGGTATAGATAGAATAATTCCTCCATTGAAATGTGTCCGATTTTTTTCATGATTAGTTTTGGGTTATGTGTTTTGGGGAGGAAGACTGTCAGTGCTAAAATGCTCAAATAAGCTTGAGAAATGCTGAGTTATAGGGGCGTATATAACTTGAGCTTTCTGAGAGCTTTTGATACGCTACTGGAATTTTGGAATCTCAGGGAGGGGCAGTGACGTCCAAAGCATTCCAACCAATGGGCCATAGAAAACTTTTTCTGATGCTGTGTTTATTAACATGTCCAAAAGGATTTGGGAAATGCTTAGGTTTGCATTTTAGCCTTTGTTTAAAGCTGAGCGCTGTGAATTGTGTAAGACTGTTGAATCACAGACCTGTACTTCTGAAACAAATAATACATTATATGTTAAAAAAAAAAAAAGAAGATAGTAGGAAGGGAAAAATGAAGGTGGGAATTGGAGGGGAAGACGCACCATGAGAGACTGGACTCTGAGAAACAGACTGAAGGTTCTAGAGTGGAGGGAGGTGGGGGGATGGGTTAGCCTGGTGATGGGTATTTAGGAGGGCACATATTGAATGGAGCATTGGGTGTTATACGCAAACAATGAATCATGGAACACTACATCAAAAACTAATGACGTAATGTATGGTGATTAACATAACAAAATAAAATTAAAAAAAAAAGCTGAGATTCTCAGATCTTCACAGTAAATAAAACAATATAAATACCCAAACTCCCAGTCCCACCTCCCTCCCCAGGGCTCTCTGGAAAAGATTTGTCAGTGACAAAAAATCCTCACCTTGGACCTAAAAAAAACCAATGCCTGACTGGGGAAGAGTATCACTTGGTAAACATCCACTTAAAATGTTAAGATGCTTTGTTTTCAAGATACCAGGCATTTAAAACGTAAACTCCTTAATGGTCAATGCTTTACAGTTTTGGATTCTTTCTTCTCAATTAATCAATAAAAGCTCATTTTGGAAAAATGAAGAGCTGGCTGGCCACGCTGCTTTAATTAATATCAGAGGCACCAATACAGTGCATTAATTAAATAAAATGCATCACCTGACTTCCTGATAAGACTATTCAAATAATACACTTTAAAATACTTGCAGATTAATCAGATATCACTTTCTAATTTGTTGGGTATTAGAAATGTACATAGGCTGACCGTGTATGAAGTGAAAAACATTTGAGGAGATCTTAGGCTATAATCAGCACTGCTCAAAACTACTTTGACAGAAAATACGATTTGGAAAGATTTTCATCTGCTCTACTGAAAAGCTGCTGGAATCAAAGGAGACACTTTTTGGCCACACTCACTTATAATCACAACATGGTACCATTAAAATACCACCCACTCATGGTAAATTTCACTTAAATTCCTAATCAGTGTTTTGGGATCATAGATTATCTCCATTCTTCACAATGTTATTACAATATAGTTACAAGTGATCACAGCGTCCTTTAATTTCTTCTTCCTGATGTACAATATTACTTTTATCTGAATCTCCCTGAAAACTGTGAATATAATATTAAAGAAGATAAGAAAGCTGAGCTAAACTCCAATCCCCTTCAAATCTATAAAAGGAAACTTGTGAGGTACCAGGAATTGGAACATTCCATTCCTACTGTGTAATGTTGGGAAACTTTCCATAACATAAAAAAGATCGTATCATATCATAAAAGATCACAGATCCTAACTGCTTCTAACAGCTGAACAGCTGGGCGGGGGGATCTACCACACAATCATCTGGTTTGATTATTAAACTGAAAAGCTACCTGAATTCTTCCTTCTACCTCCCTTCCAAAAGTCGAGTTTGATAATGTGGGCAAGGAAATTATTAAGTTGAAAAGAAATGTACTAAGTCCAAGACACTGATTTCCAATTCATAAAAATTTGCAATGGGAATCTTACCTGGAAGCGCTAAACACAAATGCCAGTATTAATGGGGATACTGCTACTGGTAATATGGGTTTTTAAAAAAGAGATCCGAGAGGTTCAAATTTCACGTTATATCAGAATGAGCTATCTCACTTGATTTGATCATGTCATTGCTATTATACTGCATATTGCAGGGCCCCAGTATTTGTCTCAATTAAGATACACAGTTTGAAAGAAAGCTGAGAGAATATCTTGTGCCACCAGAAATGCCAGTCATGGACTTGAGTGGTAAGCTTCAATCTTTGCTACCCTTTTATTTTTTAAGATTTTATTTATTCATTTTATATTAGAGAGAGAGAGTGCGGGCAGGGGGAGGAGCAGAGGGGGAGGGAGAGATAATTTCAAGCAGACTCTGCACTGAGTGAGGAGTGCACTCGGGACTTGATGCCGGGATCCAGAGATCACCACCCTAGCTGAAACCAAGAGTTTAACTGACTGAGCCACCCAGACATCCTCTACCCTTTTTTATTTAACCATTTCCTCTTGATATTTGAAAGTTCTCTAAGAACAGACTTATTTCTTCTTTCATCAAAATTCCAGTTTTTAAAATTCCAGTTCTTAAAATCCTAGCTTTTTCCCTCAATAAACCTTAGGTCTGTTCTCTCAAGCTAATGTTCCTTGGCAAAAGCACGCATGCTTTCATCC